TTCTGCCCCGCCACTTTATGATAAAAAAGTAATTAATTGGTAAGTGATGATTAGTACTATAATTAATTAAACTCCATGTAGCTAAAAGAGAGAATAATATCGTATTTAAATAATTACATACATATGAAGGGATTGCCCGAACGATGTGAAATATATTAGTATTATAGTCAAGATCTATTGGACAGTACAGTACTTGTAATGGATAGGAAGCATGATTAAGCCAAAATTTGTTCATATTTAACGAAAAGGTTAGCGTCCAAACTAATCTAATTAGCAGAAGAAAGAAAGAAACCATGGTTAGGGTTTAGTGTTGGGAATCTTCTGCCCCAACATAGAAAATAAGGAGAAAGAGGAGGCGCTTGTTCCCACTACTTGAGTGGTTTTGTGACGTACCTATCCTTTTAATATATGTGCTTTTTCCCTTGATTTAGATAAGGGAAGTAAAGCAGCACTACCTCATACGTCCGCAGTCGTCACATAATACATTGCTTGCACCAAATCACATATATAAACACACACACACACACACACACATGTTATACATGTTATATGCATTATATTACTATAACATATTTATATTTCGGTCTGGAGTAAAAACAAGCAATGAGACGATTGTTTCTACAACATTTAAGAGCGCTGGTTGTTGTATAGAAACATTTGTCTCATCATACCATCCCAAGTATGTTTTTCTTTAGTATTTTGGAGGGATTCTTAGCTATCATTTATTGCAACCCTTACAAAGCAGATCCTCTCATGTATCTAAGAAAATGCATACCTTAGACAAAGACCAAATCTTAAATTGGGGTAGTGAGTTATGCAACGTCCCCGATGCTGCATATATTCTCACACTTGTAAAAGTTGTATTTCTCAGTTATATATGGGCAGTTTAATTATTTCTATTTCATTTTCGAAGGGCAATTTAATAGAGATTTAGTACACAAAAGAAGATGCAGGAATCAATACAATTCGTGAAATAGTGATTGCTTCAAGAAATTTTTCATTGTGATCGGAATGCAGATGGTATACCATGTGTTTTTATATAAGCGTGAGAAATTTTATTTTTTAAGTTATTAACTTTTAACACATAAATATTATCATTTGTATAGTAACATGTGATGCACCACCCCGTGTACTAATCATACGAAAAAATCTCTCGATTGCTTCAGTGTAAAGAATAAAGACTATTGCTCGGGCACACTCATCAAGTCGTTTCCTTAACTTATGCGCATATTATAAAAACAGGAGGACCCAAATTTTGGCTAATATTCGAAAATATAATCTCTCTTCCTTTTCTTTTCATAATACTGTTGCATAGTTGCATGCACGGTAAGAAAATTTGATGAATTCAAAATTCCAAAATTCTGTTTACTCTGATTTATTCCAAATTATGATTCTAATTAGATTTGTAAATCCCACGGCGAGTTGGCCTTTGCCATTTACAAAAGGTCACTGTTTGCAGGGTGTTTTTATTTCTTCTTTTTTTGACTCACAAGGCATAAGAGTCAATGTCCACAGTGGAGGCCACTGGCCACAGATTCATATTTGTTTCAAAAATCAACCTTTTCTTCTTCTTATTTTTCCCAATTTTTTATTGTTTTAATTTGTTCTTTGTTTTTATGGATTCATGGATGCCAAGGCCAGTTGAACAAGAAATATATCAACTCTGGTTTCCTTTATAGCTAAGATCTGAGTGATTTGGATTCAAGTTTTGATCAGACCATGCTGATTTGACACTACTTAACTAGTGACTCATTTATGCTACCATACAAGATTTTTCACATTTAATGTTATAGGGCTTTTTTTTTCACTAAAATGATTCTAAGACGTATAATTGATGATAGTAATGCAAGAATGGAGCCAGAAAAATTTATAATGGACTACAATTTTTTTTTCAAACTCAGTTTTTAACAATTAAATATGCTGTAATAACATTCAAGAACCATATCTAACCCTTAGACGGTAATTATACTAACCTAGTTTTTGGTTGAATTTAGTAGCAATCAAATGCAGGATTTGAAAACAAGATTTGGCTCAAAACTTGAGCCCATCTCAACTTGAGGAAAATCCAGGGCCAGTTTAGACTTACCGAAAAGGTTTCTAAGCAGAAAAGTAAAATCCAAACAATATTGTTTTTATATCGTGAATAGGGGTGGAAAAAGATACCAAAAATCTCAAACCGTACCCAAAATATCCCAAAACCGAATCAAAAAAATTTCAAACCAAAAATCCCAAAAAATTCGATACCTAATCCCAAACTCATTCTGAAATTTTGGTACAGAAATTGATCTCACAATCTGACTTTTTTGGTAGCCCAAACCGAACTGAAGTTAAAATATATAGAATTTTAGATATTATAGCGGTTGGATTGGTTGAGAATTAATCTCAGCCGTTCATTCAAAATGAAACCTCAGACTCCCTCTCGACCTCCACTCTTTCACTCTCGCCCCCTTTCCTTCAGACTCTCTCTCAATCGCTCACTCTCTCGAAAAACAAGTTCGAACGCCGCTCCCGAAACAAAAAAAGGGGTTGGAATCCGATGTCGAACGGAGAAGATTACGACTCAGAGGGGCCGGAGGAGCTCACGGCCGAGCATGCAATCTAAGTCTATGGTGAGAATTTAAAGTTTTTGTTTTTGTTTCCGACAATAAAGTTCTGAACTTTGTTTGTACGTTGTTAATCGTTTCAGGAAGTACATCAAGACCAAGAACTTAACAAGCTCCAGAAAGAGCACAAAGCCAGGTGGGTTCACCTTGCTCTATTTGTTAAACAATGTTTTGATTTTTTAAGGTTTCGGTTTGTTGCTTTATAAATGTTGGAAATTAAATTCATTAGATTGAGCTGGACTGTGTTCTTATGAAAATGATAACTAGATTGCAGCTATCTGCCATTTTACTTGTATGATGGTATCCACCAGATAAACTTCTGTAGAATGGATCGATGGTTGAGTTACAGTAAGCTATTTTGAGAGTTTAGATAGAGGGAGAGATTGAATTTTTTTTTTTGTGGGATTGAAGGGTCAGACTTCGGAGGGTACTGTGAAGGTGGAGAGGAAGTGGAAGAAGACGGGAAGAAGTAGCGTGGAACACGTGAGAGATAGAAGAGAGATACTGTCCTTAAAATGTATTTTTACCCTCTTTTGGTTGACAAGGAGGATTTCATTAAAATGTAGTTTATATATTTAAATATCGTAAAAATTCATGATAATTATATGAGAAAATTTTTGAAATGTCATATGAACTTGTACTCATTTTTTAATGTCATAACTAAATTAAGCAATTTGTCTGCAACAATGTTTGTTGCCGGGTATCAATCACATGAAAGCTTCTTAGCTTGATGGTTTGATTCTTGATCTTTCTCCTGTTTCTGCTACATCTTCCCCAATTCTGTCAAGTTCTGATTCTCTGTTTCTTTCGTCCACTCTCGGTTCACGGTTTCGAGATGGCTTACTGTTTAAATTTTGGAAACAAGGCCGCCGGTGGGACGCTCATGGTTCCCACGTCTACGGCAACCCAAACCATTTTAAATGAACTTTGATGGGGGAGCAAGAAAGGTGTCTTATCATTTATTGAATAAGATTGAAGCTTTTTCTTTGTGTCACTACAACGCATCATGGTCAATACAGCTTCTGAAAGTAGATCATATCTGTGAAGTAAATGAAAATATGCATGTGATCATCACTAAGAAGATTGAACAAACTCTGAAACGTGGGTGCAAACCAATGCAAACAACATTATCAATCCTCTAATTGGGGAGCGATTGAAAACTTGAAAAGAATTTTTAGGTAGTTAATTTTATAAATATTTTTAACCTATAATTTTGTTAGGTATGATAAATTCTCTGTTATGTATTGGTTGGTAATTGAATAACTCTGTATTTTAATACAAGGGCGTTTCGAGAGGGTTGAAACATCTCGATATTCAGGAACTCTAGCATGGAAATGTTAACCTGAACCTACTCTCAGTATTTGTTGTAAACGGCATTGGATGTCTTGGTTGGCCTTCATCTGAAAGCAAAAATCTTCTAAGGCAAGATATTGATGGATTCAGTGACATTTTGGAGTTTGTATTTGTGGGATAAGCTTAGACATGTGCTGTTCTATGACGTCTGATGGCAAGCTTGAAACCCCTTGTGCCACCATACCTGCCACAAGCCACTAGATGTAGACTAAGGTAAAATGTTTAATTAAATTTTGGGTTTTTACAAACTTAAAAAAGAAAAAACCCAAAATTTAATTAAACAGTTTACCTTAGTCTACATCTAAGGGCTTGTGGCAGATATGGTGGCATAAGGGGTTTCAAGTTTGCCATCAGACGTCGTAGACCAGCACATGTCTGAGCTTGTCCCGTAAATACAAACTCCAAAATGTCACTGAATCCATCAATATCTTGCCTTGAAGGATTTTTGCTGTCAGATGAAGGCCAACCAAGACATCCAATGCCGTTTACAACAAATAATGAGAGCGAGTTCAGGTTAACATTTCCATGCTGGATATCAAGATGTTTCAACCCTCTCAAAACGCCATTGTATTAAAATACAGAGTTATTTAATTACCAACCAATAATAGAGAATTTATCATACCTAACAAAATTATAGGTTAAAAACTAAAAATATTTATAAAATTAACTACCTAAAAATTATTTTCAAGTCTTCAGTCGGTTCCCCAGTTAGAGGATTGATAATGTTGTTTGCATTGGTTTGCACCCATGATTCCAGAGTATGTTCAGTCTTCAGAGTGATGATCACATGCATGTTTTCATATACTTCGCAGATATGATCTGCTTTCAGGAGATGTATTGACCTTGATGCGTTGTAGTGATACCAAGAAAAAGCTTCAATCTTATTCAATAAATAATAAGACACCTTTCTTGCTCACCATTCCTTCAAACACATTTTGAATGTTGGTCGGCCTTGTTTCCAAAATTTAAACGGTAAATTATACAATCATAGTAATAAAGTGAAAACTTAATCATAGTAATAAAGTGAAAACTTAATCATAGTAATAAAGTGAAAACTTAATCATACAAATAGTAATAAAGTGAAAACATAATCATGCAAATAGTAATAAAGTGAAAACATAATCACTAATTTATGAACAAAAAACACTTACTAATTTATAAACAAAAAACACTTACAAATTGAGTATTCTTGGGTCACTGGCCATCTCGAAACCGTCAACTGAAAGTGGATGAAAGAAACAGAGAATCAGAATTGGGGAAGAACACGAAACCTAATAATTGCAGAGAATCGCAAAACATAAGTATTCAGAAGATGTAACGGAAGCAGTAGAAAACATAATCATACAAATAGTAATAAGGTGAAAACATATTCACTAATTTACAAACCAAAAACACTTACAAATGGAGTATTCTTGGATCACTGGCCATCTCGAAACCGTGAACCGAAGGTGAACGAAAGAAACAGAGAATCAGAATTTGATAGAATTGGGGAAGAACACAAAACCCTAGAATTGCAAAACAAAAGTATTCAGAAGATGTAGCGGAAGCAGAACACATAATCATACAAATAGTAATAAAGTGAAAACATAATCACTAATTTATAAACAAAAAACACTTACAAATGGAGTATTCTTGAATCATTGGACATCTCGAAAACCGTGAACTGAAAGTGGACAAAGGAAACAAAGAATCAGAATTTGATAGAATTGGGGAAGAACACGAAACCCTAGAATTGCAGAGATTCGCAAAACAAAAGTATTCAGAAGATGTAGCGGAAGCAGGAAAAAGATCCAAAATCGAACTGTCAAGCTAAGAAGCTTTCAGGCGATTGATACGGGGCAACAGCCATTGTTGCAGAGAAAGAGAATCGATAGTTTGTAGAGAGACAAAGAAGCTTGAGGAAGAAGTTGGTGCGAGCCGTGCGGCTTTACATTCGGTGCGGCTGTTTTTGGTTGCGAGGGTGAAACGGAGAAAATGAGGAGAGGGACAGGCGCAGGTAGCCAGGTATGCTAGGGTAACTAATGTTGGGCTAGGCCTAAAGAGAGGGAGTGTGCTTAGCCTCATAATAGATTAGCAATAATTTGGTTCAAATTCGATGTTTTAAGATATTATTTTGACAAGTTTTGATATTGAAATAGATTTTAAGAAATTTTATTTGAACCCTAATTTTCTATCTTTACACCCAACTTATCCATCAAACATTCAATTTTAGCCTTAAATAAATTAATTAAAATGAATAATATTAGAACCCTAAACCCGCTGATCTAAAAAAGGGAAAACACTTTTTTTTTTTATCTCTACACCCCTTCGTATTTTCATGTAATCCAAACATTGGCACATCCCTGGCGATTCAACGACCACAATTCCATCTTCACCTTTTTCGGTAAGAACAACCCAAATCATATTAGCATGCTTTCGCTAGGTTACAATAAAATGTAATGAGAAAAACCAAAAGTTTTGATGATGATACGACAATTTTTAGATTTAGTAGTATAATTAATAACGGTTGTGTTGTAGGGGTATTTTTATAGATGTTAATTTGCTGGGTTTTTCATGAATGGTGTTGTATGATTTGGATATGGCTCTCAGTTTCCTCCATATTGTCAATTGTAATAATCGATATCTTATTATTCTTCTTCGAATCGTATAATTGTATATAAGAAATATCGCATATGGGGATTTTGATTTTGATTTGAAGAAGATGTAACCGGCCCATTCTTTTTGCTCAATGATTCTTGTTCAACTGTTATTATTGAATTCTGTGTGGAATGCCGTTTGGTTTTGGGTGGTATTGTGTTTGGACCGGTTTTCTGTTTTCTGTTGTTGATTGAAATCAAATCTTTGAGAGTCTCTTTTATTTTTCATTATTTTGAAGTTGCTTGAGTTTTCATCTCTATACTGTACTATTCTATACTACACATTATTCTCTTTGACGGTTTTCTTGAGATTAATTATTGGTCACCTATTCCTACTGATGATCCTACCCAGGACAAGATACAAATGTCGAACAAGGATTGCTATTTTTACGTGCAGTTTCTGAAGCGAGTTTGCAAACTTAACATCAGTCAACTGTTACTATTCAAAAAGGGATCTACTTCTAAGAGGCCAGAATTTGAAGTTGTGCTTGCCAACCAAGATGAAAAATTTCCCCTCTGGATGGGAATACTTATCAAGGGTTCCAATATGCATTTTGTTGGGGGTGACAAGTATTTCAGGTCTGAGAATTTTTCTTACTCTGAGTTGTGCCTGTGGACTCTGCCCAACTTAGAGGTCTACACCCTTGACCCTACATCCCAAACCCTCTATAAGGACAGTAACTTTCCCAACCTTTCTGGTCCCAAGTGCACACCTATCGTGGTCACCCTTGGGGATGAAAACAAAGCATATGTCCTTTCAACAAATGCAAACCACTTTTCTGATATAGCTGAACCACCTTTCGAGGTTTTTGATTTTGTTTCAAAAACCTGGGAAGCTCTCCCTCCCCCCCCTGACCACCGTGGCCATATCATTTCCCACTATGCTATTGGGCGCAAGCTGTATGTTAATGCCGAGCTATTTTCATTCGTTTTTGATGCAGGCGAAGCCATATGGCACCGTGACATCCCATTTAAGTTTCCCCATCTTGCATGCTCTCTAGAGTATAATGGCTTTCTAATTGCCCAGCCCTTCAACTTAAGAGGTCTTGTTGCCTATAACTTGGACTCATTTGGGATCAAAAGTCCTTATCAGTGTCTAGATCAGCTACAAGAAGTATTCGAGGATCGCTTTTACGACTCCGATTGCTCTCTCACCCGTCTTGACGATAATGGCCGCATGTGCCTCCTTTATCAAGGCATGCCTTTCAGCTATTCCCTTAGGTTGTGTGCACGTGTAGCGGTGTTTCAAGTATTTGTCTCAAACTCTACCGACAATCCAGTTGTCACTGCCGTTCTAGAGGCTGTCGAAGAGTATGAAATCCAAGACTTTACACTTGGTGATTACGGTGCTTATTCTACATTCATCATGTAAGCAAGCGTTTTCCGATATCCTTTTTCTTTAAGTTTTGCTTTAACATTGATCTGCATTTCGATTACCATAATGGTGATGTATTTCTTAGTATATTATATATGGCTGTGACATACTTCAATATATGTTTGCCTTCTTTCATGCATTATGGTGTTTTTTGAATTCCAAGTGTTTCGTATCCTTTTGTACATTATTCCCAATACTTTAGCCTAGGTGAAGTCCTGATTACTTTAGCCTAGGTGAAGTCCTCATTCCCTGCTGGTCATTTTGTAGGTATGATGGTCTGAACAAGGACGATACTGAGGCTGATGTCACAAACTCAACTCTTTCTGGCTTGGACAGGTGTGGTCTGCGAGTGAGACCGTAATTGTAACGGTCATTGTTTGTATGTGTTTGTTAAATTTTGTATGATCAAATGCATATTTTATGTTATTGTAAGTGGGCAACATGTTTGTAAACCGGATCACAATGTTCCTTATTGCCTTCTTGTCGATGAAATTACGTTCCTTGTAATCAAATGTTTTGCTTGTATTCTTGACAGTCGCAGAGGCGTGGGCAAGCATGCCGCGGAGTTTGTCACTGATGCTGATATGCATAAAAAACCAAAAACTACACTTTGTTAAATAGGCGAGGTACACAACTGAATTTGTTTCTTTTTTTCATTTACTTTTCGTAAGTTCTGATTCCAGTCAGTCTTTTAACTTGATAATTTCTCGTGAGTTGTTCAATTTTCTCTCCTCTCCCCCTTGGATCTAGATCGTCGATCTCTTGATAAGGCTTATATGTATGTATATTAAAGACAAACCCAATGAAGGGTTATATATTATATATGTATCAAATGTTATTTGTTAAATCCAAAATACCCTTTGATCTCTAATATGTGTGGATGACGGGGATGTAAATTTCTCTAATATGCTCCGTAAACCTCTTGTTTTTGCCTCTGATTGATTTGGGAATAATATGTGTTTATAGCATGTGAAGGGATCTTGAGACTACTGAACTCTGTATTGACTAACGTACAAGTTTTCTGGTTGCAGATTTGGTAATGCAGTGTCACTGAGACACGGTTTCTGGGCATGGCATGGAACTAAAAATCATCTCTGAATGCGCTGGCGCTGAGAACAATAGCTATATTACTTAGCTATGGGTATTCTACTCTTTTATCTTGATCAATCAACTCTTATAACTGTAGTAGCAACTTAATTTCATTAGCACTGTCGTATTTAATCAATTTCAACTCACTTGGTAATGAATGGTTGCGTATGTAGTTTTATGCAATTTGCTGGTTCAAATGTGCAAACATTCTTTCTTTATTCAAGGCACTGTAGTGTTGGATTTGGCCGGTAGCGTAAACAGTAACATGTTGATTATTTTATCTAACCCGTTCATATTATAATTTATCTGCAACATAACGTTAAGGGAAATCGATAAGCATACAACTTTCAAGCTTGGGTGTAGTTAGTAGTTAAAAGTGCATATTCTGCTTGAGTGGGGAATGCTGCACGTTCCAAGCTGGAGATTCTCGGGTACTTGAGTTTCTTTCTTCCCTTCGAGTGCCTTTTGAATTTTAACCTAATATGCAGAAGATAGGACTGATAAGAAACGTTAGGGATGAGACCGCTTCTTCGGGCAGTTTCCCATGCCTGTTATTGATCCACTGAGACTTCTCCAGTCCTAGCGATTTAGCGAAGTGAAGCATTCAAGTGAAATACATAACTACATTTTTATTTCTCTTGATTTCGTGTTCCCATTGTAAACTGACTTGAAAATGCTCGATCAAATACAATGACATAAGTGAGAATTAAGAGATATGTTAATGAGTCTCTTTTAAAAGTACGGCTCTTTATAGATTCTATTTCAACTCATGTTTCGAGCATAATGTTCTATAGTATTAGTAAAACACTTAACGTTAAACTGTAAAGTAATAGGTTGAACGGTAAGGTGATGGATAATTTTTTGAAACAGTTTCCTTGGCATTCCACGAGAATCAATCATTTGAACACGCCGGCCATTTGTCCACTTCCCACCACCTTGACTCTTGAAAGTCTCGGTGTTTGCATCTCCGCCTTTTTTTGCTAGAAAAAATACACCATCAAGATCTTGTGTTTTCACTGCAAACTTTGAACTGGCAACGTACGATGATTGGCTACTACGGAAATTAACCTATGAAGTTAAATCTTATAGTCAGATCCTTTTTAATGCGCTCCAGTGGCACCACCACGAATAAATGTCTTTGTGTGGCCCCACTTTAGCATGTTCCATATTTGAAAACTCATGAAGTTTGTTTGTTTGTCTTTTTTCTTTTTTTTGAACAAACGATATTATTAACATTAAGAGGGATGAGATGAACTTAGCATCATAATAGACTAGCAATAATATAGTTCAAATTCGATTTTGACGATAATCGAACCTATGACCTCTCACTTACAAGTGAAGAGGAATACCATTTCTTCTTCCACTACCTTGGTCCATCGATATAGTGCCTCATTCAATAAACCTGGTGTTTGGATATTTTTTGTACACCAAGCTCTGATGAATAAAAGAAAAATAGCGCCATGTGAATGTGAAACACAACAAATGATATTCTTATTATATATTCTTACTATCTTTCTAATAAATATGAGATCGATATACGTTTGTGAGCCCTATCTGATACTAGTACAAATAGTGGTAATTCAAGAACTACTCGAAACACAAAGCTCGGTGCGAGTATCTACACGGTAGACTCGCTTATGAGCAGTTCCCCTTGGCCTTCAAGGAACCACATGTCACCACCATTATGCGCCATCTGTTCTCTCTCAAACTCTCTCTCTCTCTCTCTCTGTCTATACCAAACGACGAGTTGTCTGGAAAGAAGAAGCTAGACTTTCCGATTATCTGTGCTCCGGTACTCTCCGTGAAAGCAAATCGAAGAACCAAAACTTAAGAAACCCTAGAAAAAGGAGGGATTCTGAAGAGGAAAATTTGAAAAAATGAGGACTGTCGTGTCGCGGTTGATCCAACCAAGATCATCACTTCCAAGGCTCTTGTATGTCGTCTATTTTCAATTTTGGCTTTAATTTTGTGTAATTGATACTTAATTTCACATATCTGCACTGCTAATTTAAGGTTTTGAATGTGATTCTTTTGGGAATTTTGTTTTTGTTTCTGGAATATTATGCAATGCATTGCTTGGCTGCTGAGAAAGAGTGGGAATTGGGAAAATAATGCAAAACCCAAAATTGATTGATTGGTATCTTAGTTTATTAGGTTTCGTTTTCAAGTTCTGTGTTTTGGGTTCTATACAACAAAATTGTATCATCTGGGTTTATGAATATGTTAAACTGTTTTCGGATTATATAAAGCCGTGGGTTGTTCTGCCTTGTTGAATTTGTGGTTGAAAATGAATATAATAATGTTTAAAAAAAAATTATGTACTTTTTTTTGTATTTGGTTTACTTTTTGGTTCCGGAATCCAGTAGGGTTCTAACAATGATAGTAAGAGGAGAATTGGGTTTTCCTTACTTTCTGATTTCTGTAAAAGCAGTGTATCGGATGCACTGAAGAATGGTAGGTATCTAACAACAGACTCTAATAAGGTTGATGAACCCTTCAAAGTTGAGGAAGCTGAGACTGTCAACATTCCCCCTCCTCCAACTGATAAGGTACTATATCGTGGCAAAGAGCGTTGGAGATTTGAAACTTTTATTTCATCATATAATTTTATCGTCTTCATCTCTATCATGTAGTATTATATTTTTTGACTTCTAAGCTTCGTAATTTAGTTGCTTGTCTTGGGTGGAAATGGATTTGTTGGCTCACATGTTTGTAGAGAAGCATTGGGTCGGGGCTTGTCTGTCGCTAGCCTTAGCAGGTATAACTCAACTCTATATATTTGATGTTTGGTTTCTGCGTGCTGGTTAAGTTGATGCCTATGGATTTTTCATTATTGTTGATCAGTTTAGGCATGTACCCATCTCAATGCTTGCTATAAAAGAACGGAATACTATCAGACTGTGATTTAATTTATTTCCGAATTATTTCTTGGAGACCAATTTTCCTAATTCTTTAGCCTACTAGATAAGGAAAATTTTATACTCCCATCACCTTGTATTTGATTGTTTTGATTCCATAGCATCTCACTTTTAATGCTTTCTTATTTTCCTTCTCAGATCTGGTAGGTCAAAATTACATGATTCGTGGGCCAACACTGTGACCTGGCATCAAGGTTTGCTTTGTTGCAATAGTATTTTATCGACGACCCATAATTGTGTTTTTTGGTAGATACTCCTTTAAAAAAATTTCCATTTTCAGGAAACCTTCTATCGCTTGAGTCATTAAAGGATGCTTTCAATGGTGTCACGTCCGTTGTATGTATTCCCTTAATCCTCTGTCTTACTTGATCTCTATCCACTGATACGTAGTAAAGACATATGTGTACACATGTTCTCTAACCACGTGAGATATTGTCCTTCCCCTCCCCCTTCCAATTTTGTTCAGGATGTGCTTGTTTTATAGAATGAAAACTCTCCATCCCATTGTTCTTCATGCTTAGCTTTCATTACTGGATCAGGTTTGGATTGTTTTCCTAATAAAGTTTCTTGTCCTAGATATCCTGTGTTGGTGGGTTTGGCTCCAATTCTTACATGTATAAGATTAATGGGACTGCCAACATCAATGCAATTAGAGTTGCCGCTGAACAAGGTATATATTCATTTATGTTCTTTTTCTCCGTCAAGCTACTTCTTTTGCTTATTTATGGTTAAACAATTGGCGTTGATCCTGCAGGCGTGAAAAGATTTGTGTATATCTCTGCTGCTGATTTTGGTGTGGCAAATTACTTACTGCAGGGATATTATGAGGGAAAGGTGCCATGCTCAATGATAACTGCGTATATGCTTTATTAAAGTTTACTTGTATGTTTGTCGCTAGTTTTTAACGACTGCTGGAAGAGTTAGCATAATGAGTCTGCTTGTAATGCTTAACATTTCTAATTTATCTGACACAAAGTCCTTTACTGTATCTTGGTCAATCTAGAGAGCTGCAGAGACAGAGCTACTAACCAAATTCCCATATGGAGGTGAGGTTTCTTACTCTCATCATTTTTTTTCTTCAATTGATGGCTAAAATATGATAAATTATTTGGTCATCGGTTACAACTTGTCTCAAATTTCAATCAATATCTTCTTAAACATTAAGTTACTATGCTCTTGAAACCAAGCGCTGTAGACTGAAGCTTTAGTTTCATGGTTTATGTTTCTTACAATTGGGACGCTTCTGTTCACAATTTACTTGCCCTTTTTCAGGAGTGATTTTGAGGCCTGGATTTATATATGGGACTCGAACTGTTGGGAGTGTGAAGATACCTCTTGGTGTAATTGGTTCTCCACTTGAGATGGTAAAGTGTTAGTTCCTCGTGTATTCTGCATTTATGGCATGTTTACTTTCAGGGGAATAGGAATTGGAATCATTCCGATTCTTCACCTCCCTGCGTTTACTATATCATTGGTATTAAAATCGTTCCAATTCCCAACTTCCCCGATGTTTATTAACACATGAAATTGGAAAACGTGCACTTGTTATTTTTCCTTTGTTCTTGACAAAAATATTCTCAGATTAAGAAACCTGAAGGGTAATACTGATTCATATTCAAATATATGACTGCAGCTATTTCAAAACACGAGACCCCTGAGCCAGCTGCCACTTGTTGGGCCTCTCTTTACTCCTCCAGTGAATGTAACCTCTGTGGCAAATGTTGCCGTTAGAGCAGCTACTGATCCTGTCTTCCCTCCTGGGATTGTAGATGTCCAGGGTATCCAGCGTTATACCCAGAAGAAGTAGAGATGCATAGAGCCCCTTCCCTTTTTGTTTCGTTCATCAGTGCAGGCTGCAGAGTATGATGTTAAGCTGTCAAAATTTTTCCATGAAGATCCTGGTTTTTCGCTGTTAGCCGAGAATCTTGAAATGAAGATTTCATCGGTTTCTTTTTCTTCACATGTTGCAATGGTTAATAACGTGTTAAAAAGCACACATTTACTTGTTCAATAATTGCTTCCCCAGCTGAACATGTTACGAGTTTGGCGTGAAGAGGATGACCGTTACTTTTCGGTCACTTGATTTATCATTGTATCTTGGTCCCTTGCAACCTGGGATTAAAATAGCAAACTTCTGTCCCTCGGATTTTTCTTATTTGAAGTGAAAATAAGAGCTCGTGTTTTTGTTTGAAAGTGCTTTTAAAATATCTTCTTGTTATAAATTTGTTGAAATTGTCATTATAAGTAGATGCTTCCTGAAAAAGGCACTTGAGATTGAGAGTGCTTCACCTTTAGCGGGTTTGCTTTTTCTAGAACTGAATGCTTTTACGTTGCATTACACTTATCAAGTTTTCTTACTCAACGTGGTTAAAAGTCATTTTTGGGTTGACAGAACACTTGTAGATTTTACAGAAGCAGTGGCAAACATGCCCTAGAGAAGTGCTCATGCACAAAAGTGCTTTCTAGAAAAGTACTTTTAAACCGGCTTGGAACACATCCTACTGGTAGTACTAGTAACCAAAACGGGCAATTGGATGCGGAAATAGATAAACCCGACCCGGTTAAATAGTTTACTTGTATAAAAATAGGCCAATCAATGAACATCCTAGAGAAGACTGTTAACAGTCTGCACAGGCAGTCACAAAAGATCATATATTGGTATTGGAAAGAGAGAGAGGGAAAGAAGATGAACCAGAACCCAAATCAGAACCAGAACCAGCAACCGAGCGACGGCGGAAAGCACGAGGATGACGCCGCCCTCACCGACTTCCTCGCCTCCCTGAGGGACTACACCCCCACCGTAAAATCCTACTTCCCAATCTCATTTTTTCCTGCAAATTCCGATCAAATGGAAATCAAAATCCTGAATTTTGTGATTTCAGATGCCCGACGAGCTCGTGGAGCATTACTTGGCGAAAAGCGGCTTCAATGCCCCGACGTTCGATTGTAGGTACTTCTTTCGATTTCGAATTTTGGGAAGTTTTGCAATTTTCTCAGTTGAGATTTCAGTTTTCGTTAGGGTTAGCTGATATTAATAATTTGAGTTTGTCAAGTGTATATTGTGTATCTGTTCGAAAATTTCAAATTTCAAGTCCATTAGATACTCATGCTATGTGAATTTAGCTGTAGGTAGAGTCTGTAACTGGTGTAGGATTCACTCATGGTTGTCCGTGATCGGTTCCTTCTTTTCGTTTGGGCTTCAGGAATTGTATCTATTTTACACGTTCATTTATTAGCCTTCGTTGCAATTAGTGGTTTCAAATTTGAGTTTCATGGTCGTCTATTTGATGATTGAAGTTTGTGCTTTTTGACATAGATTGCATCACTGCAATCATTGATATAGGGCAGCTTTTGATTTAACTTTCTTTTGAGCTGAGAATGGCAATATGCTGCTAATTTTATTTATTTTTCTTGGATTTGTATTGAATGTAGTTCTTTGCATGTACTTGTATACTGAATTGGTTTTTATTTTCTTTTCAGAATTAGGTTGGTAGCTGTCGCCACGCAAAAGTTTGTTTCTGAGGTCGCAACTGATGCTCTTCAGTAAGTCGCTGAATTCCGTGGTTGTAATTGCACTCGTAGGTTTTTGGTCCAGAATTAATTTAGCTATATTCCTTGGTTGTTGCACTTGTAGTTAGCCAGCGTCTAAGGTATTACAATTGGGGAAGGTATTTACATGCTTATGCTTCTAAACAGGCAATGCAAAGCGAGGCAGGCTTCTATAGTCAAAGACAAAAGGGACAAACAACAAAAGGTACTCCAATCATTGTGCTCGTGGGATGTGTGTTTATGCTTATCTAGGTATGGGCGGTCTTAACTATAATCTTGAAACAGGATAAGCGTCTAATATTGACAATGGAAGACCTGTCAAGAGCGTTGCGTGAGGTAAAAACTACGATCTTTCAAATTACTTGAGCTTGATAAGCTACCTTTTCATGCACCTCAGTATGCCTCTGTCTATAAAAATTAACTGGAGAGCCTTTTGAACTTGCGAATGAGTTTTTGTTATATTCTATCCTATTACAGAAGCATGGGATTCATAGAATCTTTTATGTTGATACAGTCTTGTTGTCATTTTCAGAATTGCTAAATCTGGCTCGCTTGGCCCTAATTAGATTTTTAGGAGTCCATATCTTTAATTTATGCGTAATCCAAACTGATTATTTTTCACTTATTGTTTCTGTGTTAATTTTTCATTGAACTAAACTTCTCCTCTTATAATTCTTAATTGAGCAGTATGGCGTTAATGTGAAGCACCAAGAATATTTTGCGGACTGCCCTTCGAATGGGATGGATCCTGCAACACGGGAAGAGTAATTTGCAATTAGATTTGTGTTATACCATTTACAGTCTGGTTGTATTAATAAATCTGAGGGGATTAGGCGATGCTCGATCACTCTTGCTTTTGCTTCGCGACTCTTTCTTTGCTTCGTGTACTTGCAATTTTTGAGGCGGAAGTTTTTCTCGATATCAAGTAGTTAACTTGTACATGTATGGATTTATTAGTAAAATGATTGCATCTCGTTTAGTTCATTGTCATGTGCTTCACATCATCTCTTGTCAAGTCTTTTCTTGTGATGTAAAACTATTGACAATTTGACAGAAGAATTGTGTTTACTTTGATTTGGTCAAGGTAGACGAAACTTACACCGGCTTTCCTTCCTTTCTTAACAAATTAAACATATTATCATGTGCAAAGAAATTGTTTGAAATGATTAATTAATCACGTATTTTATAGTAAAACTTTAGCCGGTCGGCCATCCTAACATTTTTCATGTAAAATTTCTTCCCCAGGAATAAGATCATCCAAGTTTGCAACTGCAAAGACACAAATTCAAGATGAAGTTTAGGAAACCAACCAACCTCATAATTTGTACCTTCTTCTTCCTGGTTTCTTTGAGTATGAATATTTCCTTTGCCATGCGGGTGAAGTCGCAGAACACAACAATCCCAGTGAATGTTGGTGTGGTTTTTGTTCAGCTGATTAATCAGCTGATGCGGGTGAAGTCGCAGAACACAACAATCCCAGATGCAGCTGATGCAGGTTTCTCTCGCTCTCTCTGGTTTCCCTTTATATAGTTTTTCGTTGAATATGACCATTTTTAAAGGAAGAGAAGCATTGAAATTACTTGATCTCGACACCATACTCTTTTTCTCTGTTTGTCAAATAGCTGTGGACCTGATCAAGAATCTACAAGAAACTGCAGGGTCGAAGTCTTCGATGCAAGCCAACGTTGTATTTGATGATCTTGGAGTTGGAGAATCTTCGTCAATTCTGGAATTCGAGATGGTAAATGTAACGAATGGTGATGCAGCAATAGCAATTGGATTCTGGACACCACGATGTGGACTTGCGAAAGGATTGAATTTAACTCCAAATCGAACAATGATTTCGTCGGTCAAGTTTTTCTTGGGGTAGATCATCTTTATTTTGAACCTTGTCGAATCTGTTTTATTAATGTAACGGAAAGAAAATTCAGATTTTCTGAAAAAATTGAAACTTTGGTATGTTAAATTTATTCTAGACAGGATTACGATGCTTTAGCCGCAGCCATGACAATTAGAGCAAACAGTTCTTTGTATGTGGATTTCACAATGCCATACACGGAATCAGGTGTGGCGATGGTGGTGCGAACGAAAGATTACACGAGCAAAAATGCATGGGTTTTCTTGAAGCCTCTTTCATGGGATCTCTGGTCGATTTGTCTTTGCTTTTTCATCTGGACTGGTTTCGCGGTTAGTGTTCTTGAACACCGCATTAATGAAGAGTTTCGTGGTCCTCCCTCCGATCAAGTTGGCACAAGATTTTCAGGCCCCATACTCATTGCTGGGGTGGCTTCGTCATTAGCTCTCATCATATCTGCAGCCTCCTTCTTTTACAGGTACGGGTACGTCTTAATGACAAGAGTCGCCTTCGTGTGGAGAAGAATTCGGGACATGTTTGGAACGAAGAATTCGGGTCTTGATGCCATCGAGTGTTTGCCTGCAGCACCTGCTAGCCAAGCCCCTCAAGCCATTCAAATCACGCAGATCTAGCCTCACCATTCCTTGGAAAACAAGGCATTTGAAATATAAGTTAGAATTTATAGTGGAAGAGGATGTATTGGTGAGAGTGGTATGTGTATCTAGTGAGAGAAATGTTAATTTTGATTTAGGAAACTCGTAAGTGTACTTTATTGTGGTAGATTTAGTTATGAAAACTTTGCTTTGTATGTGGGGTTGATTTTTTATTCTCCCGCCGTATTACTTGGTATGTCTACTCAACGAGATTTGACTTTATGTCCCTCTCTTTTTATTTTAATAAGATTATGGGGATGATCGGTGAACAATATCACCCATCCTCTAAAAAATATTTAAGTCAACTTTGCTCTAGTCCAACATGTTCAAGTTGCGTGCCTCTCTCTCCTCGTTGAACTTTCTTTTTGCTCACCATTAGCGCTATTTAATCACTTCATTTGTAAGTGTATGATTTTAAGTTTGACTCGCTTGGATTGCTAACAATATTTTGTCATTGTATTAATTCAAAGAAAAAAAAATCTTTCTTTACGATATTCCTAAATTTCTCTAGGCACTGATATTGGAACTTGGAAGTACCGTTAATTATTATTGTATATGCATTTCTGTGAGATCTAAGTATACTTAAACAACCATTAAGTAGGTAATTAAAGCAAGCTTTCGCAATCACGGAAATAACTTGGAAGCTTTCGTGATTAAAACAAGCAACCAACTCTGTATAGAATCTTAGATAATAATGAAGATAGCGTATGTTAGGTAAATAACAATTTGTGGTTGAAGTATATTATACAGAACCAGTTTGACCCGGTATTTCTATACACTATACAGTATTTTATTCGTAAGTTACGTATATTATATGTACTTTGATTCGGTCTTAATTCGTTCTTTGTTTGTTTAACAAATTATAATTTTTGATCTACTCTAACAGTACGTTATGAATGGATTAAATATAATAAGAAACTGTTTGATATAATCAACCATTTAATTTATTCCACGAGTTTGCTTCTGTTAGAATCTGAGATATTATTCTGAAGCTATAGGCACATGGTCAGCAATCCTGCCTGTATAAAAATCCTTTAAACTAATCACATTATCGAAGCTTGGTGATCGAAGATACGGACATGGAGTTGAAGAAATCAATCAACCTTGTTTGTTCTTTCTTCTTCCTTGTTTCTTTCAGCATTCAAATTTCCTTTGTCATTGGACAGAAGTCGCAGAATAGAACAATCCCAGTGAATGTTGGTGTAATTCTTGATGACCCTGATTCGGTGAGGGGAAAGGTTCGGTTGAGCTGCATTGAAATGGCGCTCTCGGACTTTTATTCCTCTCACAGTTCCTCTAGAACTAGACTGGTCTTGAGCATTAGGGACTCTAGAAAAGACGTTGTCGATGCAGCTGCTGCAGGTCTCTCCCTTTTTCTCCTTTTCGGTTTCATTTCGAGTCCCAACCTATTCTTTTATTCAATGAGACTGCTTGAGTCTGCATTCTAATTGCGTCCTGTTTTCATTTTCTCTTTTGTTACCACAGCTTTAGACCTGATAAAGAATCTTCACGTGCAAGCAATCATTGGTCCTACATCATCAATGCAAGCAGACTTTGCAATTGATCTCGGAGACAAAGCCAAAGTTCCCATAATCTCATTTTTGGCAACAAATCCTTCCCTCACTTCCATTCAGGGTTCATACTTTTTCCGAGCAGCGCAAAATGATGCCTCTCAAGTGAAAGCCATAACTGCTATCATCCAAGCCTTTGGATGGAGAGAAGTGGTGCCCATCTATGTAGACAATGAGTTTGGTGAGGGAATATTACCGTCCTTGGTTGATGCCTTAGACGAAGTTCAAGCTCGTGTGCCCTACCGGAGTGCCATACCTTCAATGGCCACTGATGACCAACTTGCCGAAGAGCTTTACAAGTTAATGACAAAGCAAACCAGGGTCTTCATCGTGCACATGTCACCCTCTCTTGGCTCTCTTCTTTTCACCAAGGCACAAGAGATCGGTATGATGAATGAAAGCTATGTTTGGATCATGACCAATGGCCTAACAAATCATGTAAGTTCACTAAATTCTTCAATCATCAAGTCAATGCAAGGTGTGTTGGGTGTGAGAACTTATGTACCGAAAACAGAAGAGCTTATCGATTTTAGAGTTCGATGGAAGAGGCAATTCCAACAGAAAAATCCGTCTTTGGTTGATGTCGAATTGGATGTTTTTTCAATTTGGGCTTATGATGCTGCTTTTGCATTAGCCATGGCAGTTGAAAATGTTGGGACTAGAAACTTTGGCTTTGTAAAGACGAATGCTTCCATCAACTCATCCTCAACAGATCTTATAACTTTCGGGGTCTCTCAAAATGGTCCAAAACTTTTTGAATCCTTATCAAGTACTCACTTTAAAGGCCTTGCAGGAGATTTCAGTTTTGTCAATGGGGAATTACAGTCTTCAGTGTTTGAAATAGTCAATGTGAATGGTAATGGAGCAAGAGAAATTGGTTTTTGGACACCAGAAAGTGGACTCATGAAAAAATTCATAAACCCCACAAACACAAAGAGTGTTGCATATTCAACTTCTAGATCCAACATGGGATCCATCATATGGCCTGGAGATTCTACCTCTGTTCCAAAAGGATGGGAGATCCCCACGAACGACAGAAAATTGAGAGTGGGAGTTCCGGTGAAGATTGGTTCTCCGGAGTTTGTTAAGGTGGTACGTGATCCTAGTACTAACACAACAGATGTTTCTGGTTACTGCATTGACGTCTTTAATGCTGTCATGGAAAAATTACCATATGCTGTTATTTATGACTTCATTCCCTTTGCAAAACCTGATGGTACAACTGCTGGCACTTACAATGATTTAGTCGACCAAGTTTATCTCGGGGTAAAATCATCTTAACCTCATTTAATATGTTTTTTATGATTAAAATGCAGCACAGTTCAACTTAATTCTGTTGGTATGTTTGATTTGTTTCACAGAAGTACGACGCTTTGGCTGCAGCCACGACAATTAGAGCAAACAGGTCTTTGTATGTGGATTTCACATTGCCATATACGGAATCAGGTGTAGTAATGGTGGTGCGAACGAAAGATTACAAGAGCCAAAATGAATGGGTTTTCTTGAAGCCTTTGACATGGGATCTCTGGCTTACAAGTTCTTGCTTTTTCGTTTTCATTGGTTCGGTGATATGGGTTCTCGAACACCGCATTAATGAAGATTTTCGTGGCCCTCCCTCACATCAAGTCGGCACAAGCTTGTGGTTCTCCTTCTCAACCATGGTTTTTGCACATCGTAAGTAGAAGCGCCGTAAGCAGTAAGCATGTTGAAATACTACAAGCTGTTGTTTCTCCATATTTTTTACCTCAATTAATTTACGTGCAGGGGAGATAGTGGTTAGTAACTTGGCTAGGTTTGTGGTGATAGTATGGCTATTTGTAGTGCTAATCCTTACCCAAAGTTACACGGCTAGCCTGACTTCAATGTTAACCATCCAACAACTCCAGCCAACCTTTTCTGATCTAAACGAGCTTATAAACAAGAAGGAGAGTGTGGGATATACGAAGGGCTCATTCGTCTATGAACTTTTGCTAGATAGAGGTTTTGATAAACAGAAGATTAAAGCCTATACATCTCCAGAAGAATGTGACGAACTTTTGACGAAAGGGACTGCAAAAGGTGGCATTGCTGCTGCTATTGATGAAACCCCAAACTTGAGGCTTTTTCTTGCAAAATATTGCTCCAAATACACCATCGTTGGGCCAATATTTAAGACATCAGGCTTTGCCTTTGTAAGTCCTTAATTCCTTTCTTTCTCACACACGTGGACAGAAACACAATCGTGAGTCCTATATATGTTTCTTGAGTAATGCTCAATGATCCAGATTCACAAATTGACAACATAAGTTTATGTTGTCGCACAGGTTCTTAAGAGACAACATTCCTCATACGTCCTTCATGTATGTATGTATCTACCTCATACGTCTTTCGTGTATGTATCTAGGTTTTCCCCAAAGGTTCGAATCTTGTACCCGATGTTTCAAAGGCGATTCTGAACCTGACAGAGGGAGACGAGATGAAAGAAATCGAGATCAAATGGTTCGGGAAACAAGCCACTTGTATAGACTCTCAGTTCTCCAATCAATCCAACAGGCTTGGCCTTAATAGCTTTTGGGGCCTCTTACTCATCGCTGGGCTGGCTTCATCATTAGCTCTTGTCGTATCTGCAGTCTCCTTCCTGTATGTGCACAGGCAAACCCTAATGACAAGAGATACCTCTGTATGGGAAAGAATTCGGGTCATATTTAGAACCTTTGTCCAAAAAGATCTCACTTCCCATACTTTTCGAAACCAGAATGTGGGGAATGCGGAGTCCTCAGCAGCCTTCAGCACCGGCCAGCCGAGTCCGTTTAGCCTCTCAAATCACACGGGTCCAGTCTCACCTTTCTTCAGTGAATTAGGAACTCCTGTTGCTGTTGGTCAAGAATCTCCAGCATGTTTAATGCCAGCTGCATGTTGATGAGCTTGATCTTCGTAACCCACATATATTACTACTATTCAAACATCTGTCTGACATTCAGTAGTTTTGGTGTCATTTGAATCTCTAGTTTCTAATGCAAGCTTTCTTAAATTATACATCACAAGAGGACGACAATCCAAAAAAACAACAGCACACTGACTCATTACGAGCTTCAAGATTTTGACTTAATGCAGGTTTTTACACGCCCTTTCTCATAGACTGAATTATATGTTTCTAAATAGGAGAGGGAGTGTACTGAAGGAGAAAAAATGTCGTGCAAAAATTACTTTTTTAGACTGAATTATATGATATATAGGATTAGGACTAGGAATATGCGCTTTTGACACACGTTTTTTGTGGAGTTCCCTCTGTAATATATTTCAACAATCCGAATCATTTATCTTTTAGGTCTCCCCTAAAAGATCATGTCTACCAAAAATCACCAAAATCTGAAACCATATCACCGTTGAATTAAATTTAGTGGTTCTTTGTAACACTGTATTCGTCCATTTTCTTCACTCAAATCTTAATGAATTTTGGATTTGGCTAACTTTTTGGAAGAATGATGTATGAATGATGTACTAACATATGGGCGGATATCATTGAAATACATTACGAAATGAGCCTTATAAAATGGGTGCTAATATGTGTGTCCCCGATCCTAACCCAAACATTCTTTACAACTAGTAATACTTGCTAAGTAACTATAGCACAAAATCTCATATCATAAAACATTGGTGACCTTATTGTCGTCTGTAAAAATTTCTCTTGAGCTTTAATGGCATACGACGATCGCACAGCATACCCGATGAACTCTTCCACTTTATCCATCCAG